AGAGAGAGAGAGGTAGAAAGAGACAGAGAGAGACAGACAGAGACAGAGAGAGAGAGATAGACAGGTAGAGAGAGACAGACAGACAGGTAGAGAGAGACAGACAGAGAGACATGTGGATGGATAGATAGAGAGAGAGACAGACAGATAAATAGAAAGACAGACAGAGGTAGGGAAAGAGACATATATATATAGAGAGAGAGATATGTGGATGGATAGATAGACATAAATAGATAGATACAGAGATAGAGAGAGAGACAGACAAATGGAGAGAGACAGACAGACAGATGGAGAGAGAGAGACAGACAGACAGACAGATGGAGAGAGAGAGAGACAGACAGATGGAGAGAGAGAGACAGACAGACAGACAGATGGAGAGAGAGAGAGACAGACAGATGGAGAGAGAGAGACAGATGTCATAAATCAAGGATGCACAAACATTTGCTCTTCGTTCTCAACTTATCTCAGTTCTCACACTGGTTTTGTTCCTCGGCAAAGTTTCAATCTAGATTTGTGTTTTCCAGATTCACGAGGTCACTGTGACCTTTGACCTCTGGAATCTCATCAGGTCGTCTTTGAGTCCAAATCAACATTTTTATTAAATTTGAAAAGATCTTCAGATGAGTTCACGAGAACGTTACGTAGAACCCAGAGACACAAGTGAAGCCAAACTGAAGTCGTCCTGGTTCTCCTGACGAGTCTGAACTCTGTCTCCTTTGATCCGACTCTGGACGAGCAGCATAAAATTATCAGGGATGAAAATAACTTTTGTTTTTCTGACTCCGTGTTCACACGCTGTGATATTTTCTCGTGCCCAGGTCTTCGTCATCATCTGGTTCGGCTCCATCATCATCACCCTCAACTCCAAACTGCTGGGCGGCACCATCTCCTTCTTCCAGAGCCTGTGCGTGCTCGGGTACTGCATCATGCCTCTGACGGTGGCCATGGCCGTGTGCCGCATCGTGCTGATCGGCGGCTCGGGGACGGTCAGCTTCGCCGTGCGGCTGGTGGTGGTGACGGCGTCCTTCGGCTGGTCCACCTTCGCATCCACGGCGTTCCTCGCCGACAGCCAGCCGGCCAACCGCAAGGCGCTGGTGGTGTACCCGGTGTTCCTCTTCTACTTCGTGATTGGGTGGATGATCCTGACGTTCTCGCCCTCGCAGTAGAGGAGGAGCAACAGGACTGGGTTTGAGTCGACGGGGGAGGTTTTTTTCGTGGAAGGACTCAGACGAACTCTAGGATCTGCCTTCGATCGACTACTGACGTGACTGACGAGTTCCTGAGCCTCAGCTTCTGGACTCACGGGACATTCAAATAATTCCTTTGGGAGCAGCAGGGGGTTTATGCTCCGATCCAGAGTCGACGCCGCACTGCAGAGGGGGGTTTTGAAAAAGCTGATGAAAATGTTCGGATTCTTCCAGTTTGTCTCCCAAAAGCTGTGTAAAATAAAAAAAAAGTCCATAAGCTTGTATATAGAGATGCTTTATGAATGTTAGAACTCCAGGGCTCCCTGCGTTCTGCGCTTCCTCCTGATCACTCTGGGTTTTCAAACATGTCAACGCTTCATTCTGCATTTTTTTAGACTTTTTTTACGACCAAGAAACCAAACCGTCGTCAACTCATTTTGCTCATTTTGTTCGAGTTTTATTGGAGGGTTGATTTTTGTTTTCCTGAGACAGATGACGACAGAAAGACGAGTCAAACCGGTGACGTCTCAAATGTCTCGATCTTCACGATCTCTGTCTTCACCTCCTCTTTCAGACTGTGAGTGAGCTGATGCGTTCACACGTCATCCTCCCTCGCTGGTTTTAAAAGGCATTCTGAGCGAACTTCTGGCTGTGATTAGTCGACTAAACAACCATTAACCTTTGACCCCTGCTCTGTTGTCAGACGACTTGTCTTTTCTCTTCTTAAATCACTAACTCTGTCTGGTCAGGTCTTTTAATTTATGGGTATTGATTTACATCAAAGAAAAAAAGATTAAAATTCATTTGATCTGCAGCGACTGTATGTTCTGTATTTTTCAGGATCAGCTCTCACACGTTTTATTTCTGTATGAAATAATTTCACAATTCTGAATGAACTTCTTACAAATCCAACTCATTTAAATAAAAAACACTGGCTTCACGGAACGAACGAAACATAAAGAGTGCGTCATTCATTTACCATCATTTCTGATTTAATTTCAGAGGATAAACCTCAGAATAATGAAATCAGACAGATTCATAAAGACTCTGAGTCTCTTGGTCACTTAAACGCAGACCAACGTTTGTGGAGATGAATTTGTTGTAAGATTTGTTTAAGGTTCATCCTCTGAGATGAAACTTTAATATTCATGAATGGGGGAAACATCATTTACAGATTCACTGATGCTCACTGGCTGGTTTGGTTTAACATTAAAATAAAATAAACAAATCCAGGTTATTTTGCTTTATATAATTATATTAGAATATTAATAAGCATGTTGTGTTAAATACATCTTGTGTAGTTGTGTGTGTTTCTCTGATTGTATAAAACAGAACATTATGTAAGAGAATTTTTTTATATATGTATTTTACGACAACAACATTTGACGTCATCAGGGCGCGACGGCTCCTTCCATATCGGCTCGTGCATGTAAACATCGGAACAGCGTGAACAGCTGATCGAAACGTTTTGAGTTGAAACTTTATTTAAAAGTGGAAACTTTATTCGGACACGGTGCGACCTCCTGCTGCTCCTCGCGCCCCCTGGAGGAGCCCCGTGGGGCGGTGGGATCTCCCCGGCCCTCGGTGCTCTGCGCTCGGCCACAGATGGAGCAGCTGCCTCCGGAGGTGTGGGTGCACGTGTTCAGCTTCCTGAGCCCGGAGGACAAGCACACGGTCCGCCGCTGCTGCCGCTGCCTCCGGAGGCTCATCGACCACGGGTCCCTGTGGCGGGACCACACGGTGTTTCTGTCCGACCTCCGCCGCTACACCTACGGCTTCTGGGACACGCTGCGCCACCGCAAGCTCACCCGGGTGTCGGTGCGACACCTGCGGCGCAAAGAGTGGCGGCGGCTCGTCCGGTTCCTCCCGTCGCTCACCGCCATCGTGTTCGTGGACGGGGGCCGGCTGTACAGGGAGCGCTACCTGGATCACCTGGCGCGGTTCCCGGAGCTGAGGGACCTCGGGGTGCGGAACGCCGCCTGGGACGAACCGATGCTCGGCCGGACCGTGAGCGAGCAGCTGCGGGAGCGACTCACGCACCTGAGCGTGTGCAACGTGCGGCTGCCGTGCACGGAGCAGTTCATCGGCACCGTGTGTCACCTGGTCAACCTGCGGTACCTGCTGTTCCACCAGCAGGGGGAGGGCTACGGGCTGGACACGGTGAGGCCGGTGCCCCGCGGAGTTTTCCACCGGCTGCTGCTCAACCTCGGGAAGCTCCGGCACCTGTCCTGGGGCATGAGGGGGGAACCTCCGGAGCCGCTGCCCGACGACTACCTGAGTCCTCTGGAGCCAGGTACACCTGCCTGCCCCGCCCCCTACACCTGCCTGCCCCGCCCCCTACCTGACCTCAATCTACCTTTATTTACAAAGACACGTCACTCAATCAATCAATCAAATTTATTAAAGCCCCTATTCCTAACAAGGTGGAACATCCTCAGTTCTTTACCCTTAAGAGTAAAACTACCAATAAACTTTATTAACAGGGAAATAACATCATCATGTGAGGATACAAGTACAATAGATGCAGTAAAATCACAGCATTTACTGCATTAATTAGAAGAAAGAAGTATTTATACTTAAGAAAATGTCCGATAGAGACGAAGGAGCAGCAATGACTAATGAATTGAGGAGTTATTGTCGGTAACGGTAGAATACGTGAGGAGGAATGTTGTTTATCAGGAAGTCTTGTCGTCCACGATCAGGATCCAGCGACAAAGAAAGCAATTGTTGAACCTTTCAAAATGTCTCATCATGTTTTAATTAAAACCATAAAAAACTCGACAGAATCCAAAAAAAACTGTTTTTAAACAAACCTCTGCGCCCTCTTCAGGATCGAGCCGGTATGGCGGCCCGGCGCTCACCGATCTGGAGCTGGTGGATTACCCAGAAACCCTCCTGCCGGAGAACGCCCTGAGGAGTCTGACCTCGCTCAGGTCGCTGACTGTTCGCTACAGGTACATCAGGGAGGGAATCCAGTGTCGCCTGACGTCCTGGCTCAGTCCTCTGCAGCAGCTGGAGTCTCTCAAGATCATCGGTCGGTTTGTTGATTCATTCGTTTCCTCTCCTGAGAGTCCGAACCAAACTTTGTGTGCGGATCTCTGCAAGAACCACGACCGCTTGAGATAAGTTTTAAAACAAATAACCTTTTTTTGGTCCTTGTCTTCTCAGGTGGTAATTCTCTCGCCACGTATACGACCACCATCCCGTCCAGCGTGACCAGGCTGACGCTGCGTGTGGCCATAACTCTGAAAGACATGGACTCCATCGCTCCTAAGGTGCCGGCGCTCGAGCACCTGGACATCGAGCAGAACCGCTCCAGCGGCAGCCTCTGCAGACGAATCCCCATGTTGTTTCCTCAGCTCAGGACGCTCCGGATACGGTGCGTCTCACAGGGAACCGGGGGGCCGAGGGGTCAGAGGACAGAGCAGGTGGTTTAATGACGTTCTCTTGTTTCTTGTGTTGTCAGGTTTTTCCGTCGAGAACCAGAGAAGGATCTGCTGAGCCTCCACCGGCTGAGACACCTGGTGCAGCTGGAGCTGCTGGTGGAGCGCTCCTACATCCTCAGAGATTACCTGAACGGTCACCCGTGGCCCAGCCCCTGCGTGCAGGAGCTGATCGACCAGCTCCGGGAGCTGTCGGAGAACAGGATCACCGTGATCACCACGATGCGCCAGAGAAACCCTCTACGAGAATGTGACTGTGTGTGGGAGGGGGACTGAAGAGAGGGAGGGTGTGAAAACTGGAAACGCAGTTTTTACTCTCCTGACGCGAGGAGAGGACGGAGTCGGAGACAAAGGAGGACGTCTGTCGATGGCAACAGGTTTGAAGACAAATGGAATGAAAGTCGTCAGATGTTAGAATCGGGAATCTCGCGAAAGGTTCTGATCTGATAATCAGTTGAACTGAACATCAGAGCAAACTTTGGCCTGGAAACATGAGAATGAAGCACCGGCGACTCTTATCCAGAGAACGGAGGACGTCTCAGCTCCGACTGAAATAAAAGACTCAAATATCAGTTGACCAGCGTGAACCAAACGAGGCCGGAGCCGGGTTTTATAACTGGTTCCACAGTTAATCCAGTTCGTGGTTTTCAAACTCGACAACATTCGTTAAGCTCCAGCAGTTAATTATTAAGTCGTGTGAATAATCCGATGTTACAGTCGACTGTGTCTCTGTGTTATTTCAGTCCGATCAATAATCAGTCGTTTCAGGTGATCACAACTATCGACTGATGTGTAGATGCAGCTTCGTCATGATTATAAGAACTAATTATTTGTAGTACATCGTGTTGTTTCTCAAATTGTCAAAATAAAAAGATAAAGTGCAGCTGAGCACAAACACACAACACAGAAAGTTTAAATAAAATAAATAATTCTTTAATTTCATTTAATTGAAAATTAATTGAAAAAAAATGTTTATTCCAAAAATGGCTATTTATTCAAACGTGAGTCAACGACTTTATTTATTCTTCCGTGTCGTTAAATGTTGTTTTCAGAAGCGTCGTACGTTTGGGTTGTGTTGAGCTTTTAACTTTTCTCAGTTTTATCACAATTGACAGTAAAAATTAATCGTTATTTGTTTCTGTAGCGACAAAGGTTGAGACTGAAATCTGCCTCAGTTTTAAAAATCCTGTAGCAGGAAAACTTGAAAGACTTTTTAAAATAAAAAACCTGTGTATTATTTTATTGTTCAAGTTTATCCTCTCACAACAAAGTATAACTGTGTGTGTGCTGAAAACGAAATGATAAAATATTGTTTATTATTATTTATTCTTTAATTCTGTGTGTATGTAGTAATATTTCAGGAAATATTCTTTATTTCCTTGTACTGTATCGAAGTAATCTTTCCTATTATCACTCGGTCAATTAGACGAACATCTGCGCTAACGAAGACGCTAATGACAAAATCCATATGATCAAAGAAATAAGAATAAAATACACATTTTATTTTACAAAAAATAATTATTTAATATCAAGATTTTCTCAACTATACAGTATAATCAATACGGAAAATATATGAAGTCCATTTAACTGTGTCAAAAACACGGAGTCACGATGCGTTCCACACTAACGCACCCGAAATGTCACGTGACGATCCACTGGTCATGTGGTGTAAACAGGAAGCAGAGTTTAGTCTTTGAGGGACAGAAAACTGGAAGAGTGGGAACAGAAGATGTAAACGTGTGGAAAACCGTATTAATGTGGACGGAGCCTCAGAGCGAGCGGAAAGAAAACAGTAAATACAAACAACTTGTTGTTTCCTCACGTGTGAACATTTCAAACTTCTCTTTTAATCATCGGAGTTTTCTTCAAGGTTCCTCAGAAGCAGAACGCAAACAGAAATCCACACAAACGGATTTTAGTTTTTTTTGCTCTTGAATTGTGGGATTTATTTGTTGATAATAAGTTACTGAAGTGTTCATTTGTTTCTCTCTCTCTCTATATATATATAGATATATACATGTATCTACACATATACATATGGAACTGAGGATCTGAAAAATGATCCAAACCGTGATTCTGTAGCTTCCGTATCAGAAGCTGTGGTGGAAACATGTTAGAGACCTTCAGATTCAGATCAGTGGACGTCCCTCCTCCCGTCCTAGTGTCCGTCTGTACCTCAGAACTCCAGCAGGACCGTCAGCGGCTCAGCACAGTTCAGCACCATCTCTTGTTTCTGGCCGTACACCCCCTGCTCCACCTTCACGCCCGCCTTCGTGCACTTCACGGAGCGCTGCACGAGCTCCCTGCAGGTGAACACCAGGTTGGAGAAGAGCTGAGCGCCCCACCACGGCTCACACCCGCCCTTAAACTGCATCTTTCTCTTGGGCACTGGCTCCCCAAGCAGGGAGTCCTGGGGGATAAACAAGACGCTGCCGGGAAGGTCGAGGACAGACGCCCAGTGCCGGGTGTCTTTTCGGAAAAGTTTGGTTGTCATCAGAGTGTTGGCTGTTGAGAGGAAAACACAAATGAGATGTTTTGATTCAATAACTCATTTTATATGGTTGAGACAGAAATTCAGATGAACAATAAATTAACATATAAAGAATAAAAATGTGCAGCTTGAATAATGAAAGTTGGTAAATGAATCTCTTTCTGACAAACGCATCGAGAACAAACTGAACACGTGAGGAGTTCGAAAACATTTTACCAATTTCATACGGGACGTTTTCCGAGGCTCCGTGGGAGAAGCAGACGTACACAACCATTCCGTCCTGGATCTGAGGGCAGAGAGGTGGAGTCTCAACCTGGGTCACGTTGGAGACACTTTATTTTTACATGATTACAGCAACTTTCAAATGATTCTGATTGTCGGACGTTTCTGTGCGTCTTTGTGATTTCTTAATTTATTTATTCGTTTCCAACCCTCCTGCTCGTCGTTGGTTTGTTCGAACTGACAGAACATCATCCAGCCTCGGTGTCGATGAACAACAGACACACCCACCTCGGCCCACTGAGCCTCAGCTCCGTCCAGAGCAGGTTTGATCTTAACCTTCGCTTGACTGCACTGTTGGATGATGGTCCGGGCCTGAAGCGTCCTGGGTCCCCGGCAGAGAGCCGGACCGCTCCTACGCACACACACACACACACTTGTAAATAAAGCTGAAACGTGTTTACTGTGTGTACTTAACTTACATCTCACGTTGATCTTTACTGCAGATTTATTTCTACTCATCTTTTACTTTTGTCTTCTTGTTTCATTTGATTACTCTTACTGCTACACCTGCTTTTTCATCTCTTGCTCAGGAGCTCTGTGACTTTTGATTAATAAAGTATTTGGGATTCGGATACAGTCAGTACATACGCAGTAGTACAGCTGCTACAACTACTAATACTACATTCATACATTTATTCTGGAGCCCGACTGATTTGTTCTTTGGCGAATATGGAAACTTTCCTTTTACAGAAGAAACGCACAGATGTGAGTTTATGCTGATTGAATTTTCTTTTTTTGTGTGTTTTATTTGTATTTATCGTTCTGAATAATAAAGTTTATGGTTAAACTTCAAACATCAATTACATTTGGTGGTTTGATAAGAAATCATTGATCAGATCAGAATATTTTTACTCCCTAATATCGGCATTAGCTCAAATAAATCCTTATCGGTTGGACTCTCGTGTTTCTTTGAGTCACACCTGTCGGCCTCGGGCGGTTTGGCTGCGTGACCCGGTGCAGAGCCGGCGATGGTGAAGACGGGCCAGGGTTTGGTGCTCGGGGCCACCACAGGCTCCAGGCCACAGCTGGACGTCCTGTTAGCCGAAGAGTCCGCCTCCAGGTCTCTGCTCCTCTTTGCCGGGGGCACGACGCCGCCGTCGTTCTGGGTTTGTGTCGATGTTTGTGATTGGCTGTTGGGACTCACAGGTTGAATCTGATTGGTTGTTGCTTGCGGAAGTTTTGCGGGGACGTCAGGTGGAGGCAGCTCTCTGAGGTAGTGATGTGTTCTGGCGCTGCCCCGAGAGTCTCGTGTTACGACTCCAGGTCCCAGCTGTTCCTCTGGATGAGCCTGGACGCCTTTTTGACTCTCGGGCTGAGTGTCAGCGCCGTTTGTCTCCTTCTGGACGTCAGCCTGCGAACGCTTGCCTCTCTCAACGGACCGGACTCTGGTGCCAGGCTGGAGGATGATGGGAATTCTGCGCTGAGGGTTGATGGGGGCTGCAGGTCGGGGGGACTCATCCTGTGAGGAAGACGAGGGACAGAAAGTGAGAGATGAGTCAAAAACAGCAAATAATTCAAATTGAAGTAAAAGAATGTGGGACGACGGCGACATTTTCTTCCACTACATTTGTCTGACAGCTTTTTTACTCTTGAGATTTAAAATAACATGAAATCGATCTTAACTTGTTAATTTAATTAAAATGAATTCATGTTGGAGCCATTCTTTTTCTTCTTCTCTTGATCTTTGTGCCAAATTTCAAGGGATTCCCTTCAACGCTCCGGAGATGTCGTGTTTAAGAGAGTGGGAACGGACAACGTGAAATCAGCCGCTGGGTGTCGCCGGCACAGAGACACAAAAACTGTGTAATGAATGAAGCTGGGAGATCGACCTCTCTGTTGTCTGCTTCCTGCATCTCTTCATCCCCAGCGCTCCCACCACCACCACCATCATCATCATCATCTTCATCTTCTGCATCATCCGTCTCACTGTCAGAACACAGAGACAGAGAGAATCAGACACGTTGATTACTTCACTGCCATTATCGCTCCTACTGATTCTACTACAACTCATTTTAAACCGAGTGTCAGTTCTGTTACTACGAGATATTTATAAGTGTTAGTGTTGTCACTTCTCACGTTTTACTGATATTAATAATTCTAGTGCTCCAGTTACTACATTCAAGCTCGAGGCCGGACAAGTTGTATCCGACTCACAACAGACGAGAGATAAACGATAAGAATAAATAAAGAGGGAAATAAATAAAGGTGAAGTGAAGTTTTGTGCACGTGAGAAAACTTGCAGACTTACGACTGTGTGGGTGGAGCTTTGTTACCTGTGGCTAAACTTTAGCCATGACATCACATGTTTAACAGTACGGGCGACACGGTGACGTACCTGTCGACATCGTGCTGTATCTGTGGTGACGTCTGCAGCGATGCCTCTGATCCTCCTGCCGCCGCCGCCGCCGCCTGGTGCTCTGGTTTCTTCCTCGTCTTTCTGTTGCACTCGGAGCAGCTGCTGATCCACTGCACCACGTCAGGCCTCATGGTTTTCCAGAAGAATCTGTCGGAGGTGAAGAGCGTTTGCATCCGCAGAGTTAATCTATTAAAATATACGATTATCCCAACACGATGGCAAAACGTTTTCTTTTTTAACAGTTTATTTTCTCCTGTTTACTTTTAGTTTTATCGTCTTTACTTCAGTGTTTGTAACGCTCTTTTATCTCACGTCTGTATGATTCTGAATAAATGAACGCACCCTGACGTACTCCTGGATTAAAACCTGTATGTTCTGATGTCTTCATGTTCGTCCTTTTGAAACACGGACTCAACAGACACAAACAAATCTGTCCATCTTGTATTCTGAGGCCACGAAACATCTGTTCACGCCCGACATCGAGAACGAAATATGCTGAAATGTTCTCCTGCTGTTGGCTGATGATTGGCTAACGGTGATGTCACTCAGCTTCATTTAAAACTAAAGCAACAGATCTGAAGCGACGACGTGTTTTGGTTCTTGTCAGTTTCGTCCAAACGCGATTTATCAGCGTCAGCAGATTCCTCTCTCACCTCTCGTTGAGCAGCCGGAGACATTTGTTGGTGTCGAGGTGGTTCAGCTCGTTGTGATAATCCTTCAGGGCGACTTCAACCTGCGGCCTGCTCCTCAGGACCAAACGCAGCCGGTCCGCCTTCACCATGTGGAGCTCGTCGCCTGGGAAACCAACAGAGAGGACGGCTACTCAATAGTTTGGACAATGGGGTCTAGATCTTTCTTTAAAATGATCTTACACTGAATAATACGGGGAAACACAGAAGAGGACAGAGATTGTTCAGTCTTGACGGACGTGCACGTGAGTCTTAGTTGGAAACCTGTGCAGGGATTTCTGGTCGGCACAAACCTTTGATGACGAACTTCTTGCAGAACCTCCTGAAGGTGTTTTTCTCTACGTAGCTCAGACCGTGAGGGTAAACGCGTTGACGGAGGTAGAGCTCCACAGCATCGTACTTGGCAAATAGAGCCTGTTCACACACGAAGAGGGAATTAAAAGCACACACAGGACTGGACAGTAGGAGAAACAAGCTTCTGACCACACAGGTGAGTTTATGTGAATGCAGAGTTTGCTACGACTGCAGATCCAGAAACAATAACTCCTGCGTCTTACTGCTGAGCTGTTGTGGACCAGCAGCGTGGGAACGGCGTCTGGACGGAGGGTGACTTTCTCTCCACTGCGGTCGAAGCAGTCCTCTGTGAAATGGGTCGAGCAGATCGACGAGCCGAGCCGAGGGTGCCAGTTGGACCGGCCGACAGCTTTCAACCACTGAGCGAGCAGGGGCGGGTTGTGAAGAGGAAACCTGGAGGTACAGATGGATAAACGTTCAGTGATGCCACAGAGAGAGACAGGAGGCTCCACAAAGAGATCCTTCACCACAGACTGTAAATAAACATGGACGACATGACGGCACCCAAAAGTGAAGCCAAATCATCTGGATCGCCCCCTGGTGGATGGCTGCAGTGTAGGTCATAAACCCTGCCTCCTCCATGTTAGCAGAGAACAAACATCTCCAGACTAAACGCAGCCCCAGAGTTTAAGAATGTTTAAAAAAGAAAAAAACATAAATCACAAAAATGATCTAAGGCAAGATTTTGAGATCTTAATGATTTAAAACTTTAGACGAATCAAATTGAACTGAGTCATCGTCAGCTGGGGAGCTCGTGACCTGCAGCATCTGTTCCTCTCTCATGTTGCACAATAACCCGGAGCCCGTTCATCTGCAGAAATGGACTCGTACTTGTGGAAGGCGAGGCCCAGGCCCCTCTCCACCGGCCCGCAGCAGTGGTTGCAGCTGTGGATGCTGCAGCGGAGCCACTTCCTCTTGGTTCTGTTGAGGCAGGTGTGGCAGCTGGAGATCCACGAGGCCAGGTCCCGGGTCATGCTGCTCCAGTAGAAGTGCTTTGTGATCTCTTGCTGGCAGATGCCGTGACCGTAGTGACCCTGGTTGTCATGGAACTGCTGCAGGATGGCGTTCACCTGGGATCACAGGACAGATTCCAACATACGGACGTGCAGAAAAATGTGGATTTAATCAATGTGTGTGTTTTCCTGAAGTGAACAGACAGAAAGCTGAGCAGCTTCACTTGGTTGAAGATGCAGGTGAATGGTAGTTTGGGTGTTGGTCAGGGTTAAATGTAATTACCTCCTCTCTGCTGCGCGGCACTCTGAGAGGTGGAGAGACACGGGTGAACATCAGCACTCCGTCTGAAGCACAAGACAAATGTCTCTACGTTATTTCTCAAGACAGTTCACCTCATGTAGACACTTCAATCCGATTCACAGGGAACTGTCTCACCGATGAGTCCAAAGCGCTTGGACATCCTCTTCAGAGCAACTCTGCTCTTCTTGCTTTGCATGGGTAAGACCCTGTGGCTCAGATACCTGCAGAAACACCTGAGGTAACAACGTGTAACTCGTCTAACGTGAATGCTGCGATCGGTGGATCTCGTGTCTACCTGGCGATCTGGTTGTATGTGGAGAAGCTCGGCTCGAGGATGGTCTTTCTCCTCTGTTCCTCTCTTACTGGCTGGAACTCCCTGGGGTCTGCAGCCGGAGCAGGGAGGCAGTACTGGTGTTCCTGCAGCTGCACAGGTATTTCAGAGCGATCGCAGCCTGGTGCAGACGGGTCCGCGGTGTCTGCAGCGGCAGCAGCTGAAGAGAGGAGGTCTTCCAGGGAGTTCGAACACAGGAAGTCTTCATCTTCATCAGGGACGGGAACCTGAAAAACAAGGAGGACGGTCTGATCAGGTCTAAACTCTCCACACCTGATCACTCCGGTGGAGCTAAAGCCTCCTTATCTGCTCTGGATGCATTATTTAGATTAGAAGTTGTTTATTTCTGCACAGAAATACGTAATTGTGATGACAATTAAACTGAAAAAGCAGAATCAGAATCAGTCAGAGGACGTGTGTTTCTGTTTTTCTCCGGAGCTGATATCTCTTTTTTATTTCCAGACATAAAATATCAGAAAGGTCTCAGCAAATAAAGTAAATAGGTCATAGATTGCGGCGAGTTCTTTTATGGGGGAGGGAAGGTTTGTGATACATCACTTTCTCACTTGAGGGTAATTTCGATTAATTTTGGGACCAGGCGGCCAAACATCAAACCGAACTGAACCGCTGTGATCTGTATTGCATCACCTCGTCTTCCTCCGCTGTCACGGTGACGATGGTTGGTGCAGCGTCGGGCGACAGAGTCAGCTGACCCTCCTCGCTCAGCGTAAAGCAGGACGACTCAAAGTGTCGGGAGCAGAGGTAGGAGTTTGAGCGCAGCGAGCCTTCGTCCCGCTGGGCCACCATCAGCCACCTCTGCCGCTGCTCGGCCTCCTTCGGGAACCTGCGAGACGGAGAGAAGACAAAACTAGAGATGAAGCCAAACCAGAGGAACATCTGCCTCCTTGGTCCCACTTTATTTCCTCCGGGATGGAAGGTTGTGTTTCCACCTTTGTCCATTTGTTGGTTGTATGTTTGTTTGTTTGTTTGTAAGCACGATTACACAATAACAATAGCACGGATTGCCATGACACCGGATTCAAACAAACTTTCTAAAATGAACAGTGAGATAAGAGCCACTTTGGACAATGTGTCTTTAAGGTGGATTTCAAAGATGATAAGCAGCTCGCTGGTCGTTCCTCCTCATGTGACAAAGAGCGGGGGCTCTAATGAAAAAGACTGTGGGATGATGTTAGATGCATCCAGGTCCAGAACAGGCCTTAGAATCAATTCTAAAATCTAACGGAAGCCAAAGAAGAGCCAGACTGAACCTCGTAGATCCAGGAAGTAACTCCGTTTGTTTCAGGTCACACATCTTTGTAACTGACCTGAAGAAGCTGAGCTCCGGGTCGACGTAACTGGAGGCGTCGCAGCCGTAGGCCAGGCAGAACTGGACGGGTGGGTTGGGTGGTTCTGTGGGATTCCGGCTCTGACAAGCAGTACAAGCTTTGACCCAGGTCTTCACCGCCTCCGTCACTCCCACCCAGTAATACATGAGCTGAGCGGCAGACACAGGATGGAGGTTCTGTTATAGCAGCGGCGTACAAACCTTTCTGTCAAAACACGTGATCTGATCTGAACCCACCATGATCTCCCGTACTGTGCGATCCCGGCCGGCGTGGTTGTTGTCGTCATGATAACGCGTCAGGATCTCTCGCACTTCCTCGTCGCTCCTGACGACCTTGAGGAGGCGGCCTCGGTAAGTTCGCCACAGGCAGCCATCTGGAGGAGAGAGGGAGGAACTCCAGTCAGTTGGTGTTTGTCGGGATTGATATGTGATTTGGTCCGAATAAAAATACAGACAGTGGATTTGAATATATCTAAGAAATGCAAGTTTAAAATCCATTCCATTAAAACTCAAACATTTAAAAGGCTTATTTACCCGTTGACAAATATATTTTGACATGAAAACTGCTGATTATTGTGATGTTTGAGCACGAGAAGTCTCTGTGTGTCGGAGGCTGAAGCACCTTTGTAGATGAAGTGTTTGCTGGCAGCTCTGATCACTGTCTTCGAACTTTTTGAGGCGTCTACAGGAAACTTTCCTTTCCGCACAAAAAGCTCCACCTTGTTTATCAGGTCGAAAGACGGCATCTGGAAGTGAAGAGGTGAGACACAAAGTGAGAGACGAGGGAAAGTCTCGTTCGGTCACAAAGAGACAGAGCAACAATAATCTGCTGTTTTTCTTTGTCATCTATGAAAATGTAATATGGTACGATTCTGCATTTGGATAAAACAAGACATTTAAAATACATTATTATTGGCTCTTAACAGCTGATTAACTGATAATAAAAATAACTACGACTCATTCAAGCCAAGCTG